TCATTCGTTTGCAGAAAAATTCAGTTAATTTAGATATTATTATAGAATTCAGTCGTTGAAAATTTTGAATTAAGCCCCTAGCGATGCAGTTTAAATCTATTGTCAAAATGACCGAAGTTAGTTTTCTTGCTTTGAATTTAGTATTTATAGCTAGGAGAAAAATGGTAACGAAATTCAAATTTTCTTTATACAAATAGAGTAAAAATGTATCTATTCCAAAAGTCAAGTCATCGATGAAATAATTATGATTGCAAAATAGAAGACATAAAAAAGTAGTCTGCCGATACTCACCGTCGTTGTGTCGTGCGCCGGCATCGTATCAGTTCTTTCGTCCACTACCAATTCTTCGCTGGTATCACTTTGAGCATAGTCCGAATGGAATTCACCTAATTGTATTCGAAAACCAAAATCGGTAAATTCTTTTCCATTTGTCATACATCTAGCTAATTTCAATCGTTCAATATCCATGTCAACAGAATTGTTGTACAATGTCGGGAATGGCTGGCAGCCGACTTTGTGATTTGGGTTAACGGAAGGACTTAAATCGCTTTCAGCGCGTTTACCTTTCGGTGATGAATCATTTAATTTGGCTCCGATCGGGTACTTCGTTGATTGGTTGCTATCATCGGAGGGACTCTGTCGATTGTATAAACTGCGGTTGCTTAGTTGCTTCAGTCTTTCGAGAGAAAACTTTGTGTTTGCGTCGATATCAGACATGTCCTTCGGATAGGTTAGTGGTCGATTCTTCATGTCGATATCGTCCTTATTGTAAAAACTTCCCAACAAAATCCCATCAAATTTCGTCGGTTGTGGTCGTTCCAAAATAATTGGCTCGAATTTAATCAATTTCTTATCGATTGCACTGGCCTTTGTTTGTTGGTCAGTTGGTGAATTCGAATTTGAATTCAATGGACTAACAGATTTGGGATTATCCGAGTTTGGTGATTGCATCATGACCATCTTTTAATCATTATTTTATCAAGTAAACATCCAATGAATTTGAATTTTTCACAATTTCACTTAAATACTTAAACTCCAAATTATTTCAATTTGTAATTTTACTTATAAGTAACTTCTCTTCGAACGTTTTTTGTAATAAATTTAAGTCGTTTTTTTGTTTTTCTTGCTTTGATTTATTGGTTTATTCTTTGATTTTTTCCCTTTATTACTCATGTACACATATATAAAAACAATATTATTCACACTTTACTTTCGCATTAAAATTAATATATTGATTCACACGGAAATTGATAAGAACCACAGCACATAGAATTACTCACATTATAAGTTCACAATTTGAAAATATGACGTACAAGTACGATTGTGAGAATCGCTCAAAAACGGGTCGACAATGGCAACAGTTTCGAATGATATCTCCGCGAAGACTGCTTCCTTAGATTTTTTGTGTATATCGTTTAAGCTACTTTTGACTGTGATGCTAGTCAGCTACTAATGGTACAGAATTGAGTTGTAGTGTTTACAGCAACGCCGATCAATGCTGTATAGACGTCCCCCATTTTATGCAACCAATGATCAAACACTTGTCGTCTGACTCCGCCTTTCAATGTTAATGACCAGGCGGAAACAGGATCTGTATTTGCATTGAGAAACCGCTTTTTATTGTCTAATTTCACCATATCGGATTAAATGCACGCTTACAACAGTTTCTACGTCAACAACCATAATGAACGATAACAGGGAAAAAATCTCTACTTCAACAACAACATCATCAGTAATAGCAATAAAAGAAACGAGACAGAGGTACTGTCATATACAGTGGATAGGGAGAATTTTATCAACATCACCAAAGGTACCAAAAAATACATATACAAAAAACAAAAAACGATAAAAATTACACCGATAATTGACCGAGAAAAATACATTCATTCATTCAACGTGTACTTTGGTGTGTCCATTGGATTTCATTCGACACCACAATCAAACACGCAAATAAAAGAAATCTAGCGTAGCCATTTTAGTAAACGTTCGACGCATTTGATTTAAGCGGTTTTCAGAGAAATTCATAATTGAGTTTCGTTCAATTTCTGACTCTAGAAACTTTAGATTGATTGAGTACAAACATGTAAAGACCCTCGCCAATTTAAGTTGTATACAAAAGATTCAACTAACGCATACCAACAACCATTGATAATATACAATATACGGTTGTGTGGAGCATGAAGGTATTTATTTAAGAGACAGAGTCTTCGTATACATTTTATTGGAATTTCCATTCGTTTCCACCGTTTTGAGTGATGGCTCTAAACGAGCCTATTCAAGCGAACGCAAATTGACTATTTACTTATGTGTACGCAATTTTATTATGATGTTCAAAGCGTTGTGAAAATTGAACGCTCTGTATTACAACAACAAATCTATGTTAAAAAAACGCTGTGTTCCGCTTTGATATAACAACCATTCAGTACGTTGTTTTTATTCTAGAGCGTTCAATTGATGTTTGCTTTCATATTCAACGTGCTCTTCTTTAAACTTCTTGAATCTAATTCAATGCTTGCGGATGAAGAATAATAATCAAAAAATGAAAAAAATCAAACTCAGCTCATTCAATCCAAAAATCTCTTTCTTATACATATAGCTAATTTCAAATGTTTCAATATAATCTGCATTGGGCGTCTTAATTTTTGAGATATTAAAATATTATTTATTGGCTTAATTTTGAAACGCTTTTTTCATAAATAGTTAGAGTCAAAAGACCGTTACATGCCAGTCAATAGCAAGATAATTGATCTCAATTAAATAAAGATGAAACAACAAACAAGGAAAATTATAATTTTATATCTCACTTAATTAAAGTCGGTGTAAAAGTGGCAAGGATGAGAGATAGAGATATAAACACAAGAGAGGAGAATCAGTGAATTTTTGTAATTGGGTGTGTCGTTGAACGCTTATGTTTGTGCTTCATTTTAGATTTGAATACAAATTCACAATGCTCGTTTCATTCATGAACGTACGTTCGGGTGATTGGTAATATGAAGGGGAAGAAATTAAAATAGCACGAAAATTGAAGGGTGTCGACATTTATTGCACTATACATATATTTCTTGGTTTTATTTATACCAAAACCATAAATTGAACGATTAATATTTTCTTTTAATAAAATTAGAAACAGATTAAGAAATCTATTTAATTGAGAACTGGCTATTCTACAAGTCCCACGTTGATATTTATGCATGATGTCATTTCCATCTTGTTAACTGTCATAAAATGTTGTTGATTACGCGTGCAAACGTACGATCTCTATGATACCGTTATTAATATTATTGCAAAGAAAATTCAACGTAACAATATAAAAGTTAAAATAAACACATTAATATAGACGGCACATGAGTCGCATAAATTTTGTAAATATACGCAAATTTCTCTCGATTAAATGAGATTTGATCTGGTTTGGGCATTAATCGCACATATTTACATATGATATAGTCATATAGTCTTACTGATGTGGCTTCAACGCGAACGCACACATACGTGCACATACATACTACACAGATTTTGAATTGAGTGGAAAGAATTCCGAAAATATAATCTGTCAAGAGGAGAGAATATTGCGAATGCTATACATAAACATCAAATTAAATGGGCCATTAACCACCCAAACCTTTTATTTGGGCTCGTTTATTACGTTTGCATGTATGCAAGTTTCGAGTTTACCTACTTAGTTTTCGACGAGACACTGTGAAAATGAATCATTAATAGACACTAATTGACAAGTATTCGTGTGTTTCGTTAAAAATGAACTGATACAGTGACTCTTCTTCACTCGCTATGCAAATTTCACTGTATTTTCATGCCAAAATAACTTTTGAAATATGCATACTCTTTTGAAAACATATCACTTCATTAATTGGTTATTATACAAAGAAACAAAAAAATTTGAGTGTTTATCAATTAAAGTAAATTTGAAGAGAAATATGTACTAATGATTGACATCATCAAGGACATCATCCATTAAATTCTTGCATAATAATTGTTCTAGATGAATCTGATGATTATATCAATCCAGTGATCGTAAAATGTTGAACACGACAAACCAAAATCAATCAATAAATACATTATGTGTCACAGAGAATCAACGTAATTTTTGGGTATTCACACCAGTGATGGATTTTTCCTATCTGAATAGCGCTAGCTATTCGCAGCGTCTGAACAGCATTGCTGCCCAGATGCTGAATCGAAGCGGTTGCCTCACGCGTTTTGTACCACACAACATATTGTCATATAGTCTAAGTAACCAGTGAGCTCACAGAGTATGATACACTAATACCATAGTCAGTATACAAACGCATGTCGAACAGAGAACGAACGCGAACGTATAATGCTCTGTGTGGTACAAACGAAGTGTGTTGCGCGTGCGGCAACCGCTACGATTCAGCATCTGGGCAGCAATGCTGTACAGGCGCTGCGAATAGCTAGCGCTATTCAGATAGGAAAAAACCATCACTGATTTACACAGAGAGACAAAATGTGGTATTTTTAATTCAAGTTTGGTAGATTTTATATAAAATTAACCAACAACGAATTAAATTTACCATTTTTTACATCTCTGAGGCATATTTTTCAAAGAGACTATCAGTTGAATAAGTTATACCAATTGCTTCATTTCATTCATGGTTAATTTTATATTAAATCTACCATTATTCAGTGCCAGTAATTAACCGCCGATCGGTTAACGTTCCGGTAGAAAGCTATAGGATCGGAACATAAAAAAACACTTCAAATAAATACAGTATTGTATCAATGAACGCGTAACGGCAAATATTCCAAAATTTACGTGGGTATTTCTGATTATACAGATAACATTTGAAACACACACAAAATAAAATAAATAATTGTTGTTATTATTGGGTAAGAAATAAAATCAGTCTAAAAAAACTAATTTTTTGATTAAAAATTAATAGACCGAGAGCTGATGGGAAAAGCTCTATTATTTTTGCTTTATGTCAGAAAACTATATTAAACCATGCAGCTAGACATACACTTAACAAATAATTTTACGTCTATCATTACAGCCCTCCCACTCGCGAAATCTGCACTATTATTACCGGATAGAAAATACATCAACTATTAAAGCGAGCTGCATTTTTGTTTTATTTTGGAATATGTTTTGTTATTGCTCAAATATTCGTCGGTTAAAAATTCTGCATGTAATTCCGTGTTGTTTACAAAATCTGCACTAATTAATTATTTTAAAAAAAATATCAATTATTTTTTCTGCTTTACGTCTGAAATTTTAAACATCGATTCTTTATTATAAAATAACACTAAATTATAAATATCTGCACGTAAAAATGTCTATTTATTTTTTTCTGTGAAAACAAAAATTCAATAGTGCAAAATTCACGTAATTATCAATTGAATTATCTGTTGAATAATATTAAAAACCATTGCCTTCAAGAACACAGCTAGTTCAGTTATATTCAGCGATTCATTTTCCATTCTGTTCCATTACTTATTGATTAATTTCCATTTTTTTCATTCTTTTCTGATCAACTCTAGGTATGCGTAAATTGAAAAATATAAAGAAACGGTCACTTAGTCTGTTTTTAGTATTATGCCACGCAAATATATCAGTAAATTCGCATAATAATTACGTATTTGTTACAAAATCACTGGCAAATATACAATGTAAAAACATGACACCGATATAAGTGTACGCAAAATGCTTTACCATATTTACGATACTTACGAGGCATTGGAAATATTTTCACCAGTCACTTTAATTTTCGAGTAAAAAGTTATATTTGTCTCAGTTTCTATCAACTGAGACAATTTGAAATTGATCATTTGCTTGTCATCTTGTCAGGTTCTTATGTATTTTCATCCAAACTAATTTTCAATGACTTTGGCGTTATGTGTTTTTTTTCCTCATTTGCCATCACCCGCGACAAGAAAAACAATTAATTACATTTTTAAATCCCGAGACTTAAATATTACCCAACATATAATTCGTTTATTGGTAGTTGCAACACAGATTTTTTGTGACCAAAAATATATCATCAGCACAGTAAAAAATAAAATGAAATGAATATTAACATTCCTATAGAAATTAGAGTACAAGTATAAATTTGAAAGTGAAATGCCAAATGTTAAAAATACTTTTTAAAAATAAACAAACTTGCAGATAAAATATGGATTTTCATGTTTTTTTTTTCATGCAGTAGATCTCATATTTTAAAAACTAAACAGTGCGATAAATGTCCCATTGGATTTTTGGCTAAGTGATATAATTAGGCTTTGGTATAGTCAGTTTTTGTGATTTACACCGTATACGGGTATATGAGTACAATATAAAAAACAGTCTATGTATTTTGGATGGATATCCATCCGAGATATTTTGGAATATCTGGATATTCAACGCAATTGCACAGCGCCAGAGCTGTGTGCGTCGCAAATAGAATCTACGGTAGGTCGC